CGTTGGGAACCACACCGTTATTTAGGGACGAATTGAATAACTCAGCGAGAGGTGTGCATAGGGAATGAGCACACTGCTTGAGGATAAATGGTGTTATCTGATCGGCACCGGGAGATTTTCTGTGATTTAGTTCAAGTAACGTTCGGAGTACACATTCTGGAGTCACAATTACTTCATGTAGGGAGGTGGGCGGTGAGGGAGACATAAACGACATCCGGCTTATATATTCCTTCTGACAGTAAACAGTGGAATAGAACTCCGCCAGTTCTTCAGCTGCAGCTGACGCAGTGGCCGTCAGTCCATTAGGGGTATGCAGAGGTGAAATACCCGGTTTCACAGACGCCTTATTATTAATGATCCAATAGAGAAGCTTCGGATTTTTTTCCATTTTCTCTAAAAGCATTAGCTGGTAATCCTTTTTGTCGCTCGCGACCAGCGTGTTGACTTTATTTCTTAGTAACCGATATTTTTCCCATGTTGTTGTTGTTCGGTGACGTCGGTATTCAGCCCAGGCTGCATTTCGCTCCAGAATCCATTTTCGGGTTCTGCTTCGTAACTTAAAATCGAATCCCATCTGAGTATTCTTTGGAACGAAGTGGGAATGCAAACGTATTTTATTGACCAAGTTCCCCATGAAGCTAGACCATTGCTGGTGGACGTCTGGACCTTCTGAATACCAGTCCGTACAATGACTCAGGGTATTCGACAGTGCTTTCGTGTTCACTTTCCTGATCATTTTAAGCTCATCATTAGGTCTCACCGCCGAACAAACATAATCAAAAATGAGAACGACGTGATCACTCGATCCTAATGGACTTTCATATGCGATGTTTTCCACAACGTTCTCTTCGCTTGTTATGATGAGGTCCAGAATGGAAGGTATATCTGATCCTCTATACCGCGTGTTGCATGATATATGATTGTGAAAGTCAAGATCATGTAACGTCTCCTGGAAGGCACAATCGAGGGAATTTATCGGATGTTGTTGAGTCCGTAGCAAGTTTGGGAGATTGAAATCACCCATAATTAGTATCTTACTTTTATACCGGGAAGCCACGAGGCGTAGCTTCTCCATTATGGTGTAATTGTGCAGTTCCTCCGCTGAAGGTGGTCGATAGATCACACCAACAACACAGTCGTTACCTGCTACCGTCTTTAACGAGCACCACAAGGTATCCGATAGTATCAAATCTTCATCAGTTAGCTCTTTGCACAATAGTTGCCTGCTATGGTAAATAGCTACACCACCTCCCCGAGAAATGCGATCCCGACGAAGAAGCGTCATTCCAGGGATGGCAAGTTCACTATCCGATAAGTGTGGCTGGAACCAAGTCTCGCTGATAGCAATCAAGTTTGGCAAATGCTTTTCACACAATTCAGATAATTCTGGAATCTTGTTAGTCAAGCATTGCGCGTTCGTGTATAAACATTTAATGGTGTTTATTGACAGTAGTGTTGGGCAGTACGCAAGATAATGTGCAGGTTGGGCGGTTATAATTGTGCCGACCCTGGCAGAGTCGGCAGCTGGTCGTTTTTTGAAGTTTCACCTACGGCTTCATCTTCATTAACCTTGGTCTCTTCTGTGGGTATATTGTTCCGCATGGATGTGCTTATCCTTAACTCCCTAGGGAGTAAGTTCCTGTGACGTTGCCATTGTGTTTGGATTAAGTTTAGCATATCACCACGAAGTAGTGTGAGTTTCAGGGGAGTTTCAGATGAGAACTAAGTTGAGGGCGCACCGTTACCGCAACATTTCGATTTTTCATTTTTGTGCAAAATTTCACGTCTGTTTTTCCTCGTTCAGCTCCTACTTATTTGGACACTATCAGTAGTAAATTTCGGCTGATGCTATTACCACAACCTCGGAAACCATTTTTCGTTAGTTCGTCACATACAAATTGAACCTGCACGATAAATACCTCATTTTCGACCGTATAGTTATACATAGCCGCTGAATGGCGCTTTAGGTATCACTGATTTGTGTCAAGTACACTCCCATTACATGCATGTAGAGACCGTGTAAGGCGCCAGGGACTATATCTAAAAAAGCATTACACCTTACGCAAAGACGGAGAGCGACTGGAACAAACGCTTAAAAACGCTGTTATAGTACATATAAACCAAATTAAGGTTCCATTTATTATTGAAATCCTACGGAGCATTTCATGACCTCCTGATAGGTCACAAAAGTGAAGAATCGAAAAGTTGTGGTAATAGTGATATTCGTAAATTTCCATCAAATGTACGTTCTGATTGCCCGCTACCATTGTTTAACCTGATCCGAATGAGGCACACTCGATATGGATTCTGAAGAAGTCCTCAGTCTGCTCCACTTTTTACACATTTGGTAAAACACTAACCTTCCTCATGAAAATAGATACGAGGATGTAAGACCTACGGCAGCTTCGCTACCGTCAAAACTCCGACCACGCTGTAGTTATAGCTCTATAAATATGGCCAACAGACCACGGTAATGTTCAAAACCTACAGCTTTCAAACGTGTGGATCTTATGGAAAAGTAGCCTAAATAGCGACTATCTGCTCATGTTCTACTACGGATAGGATCTAAGCCCTACGTTGGCAACTCATTTGTCTTCCGCTGAACGATAGTTTTTCTGCCGTCTGAAGCTCAAAAAGATGCCGTTTATGTACTAGGTGGTTGCAAAAATGAAACTGATATCTTGTGAAAACAGTTTCTGTCCGTTTACACTCAACCTTCTTATTGCGTCAAGAAATTCGAATGGTCTACTGGGGTCGCTTTTGTCCAACTGGCTCCAGTTTTCTGATGCACTACTTAGAAAGTGAGTAGCGTATAGGGTCGGGCATGTCTGTGTGCTTGTGGCAAACAGGTCGTGATGCCGTGGTCCTAGCCAAATACAGACGCCAAAGTTGTAACATCATGAATACTGATTTTTCGGTTTGGAGATGTCTTATCTTCGGCCCTCTGAACTCCAACCTATCGGCTGGTGCTTCCATCATTTTTGCGATCTATTCATAAGTACTATCCTCGTGCTGTTAGCGATCCCTGAGATAATGTCATCGTACCTTCGCACCTCCAGTGCATCCCAGGGTCTGTCATTACACCTAGACAACTTTGGAAGTTCAAATATTGACAGCATGAGTTGACTAAGATAGATTTGTGGTGTTCCACATTCAGCTGGGATTACGATCAGAAAGGTTATCATAAAACCTCAAGGCTGAAATTTCGACTTGCGGTGATCACGGCGATTGCGAGGACAACAAACTTTTGGGCTTACTAATGACATTAAACTTTCTCAGGGGTGATTTTCTTTAGCATGGGTGGAACGTTGTGAACGTGTCACTCTGGTTTGTACAATAATTTGGTATAGAAGCTGACAGCATTAAACTCAATCGATGCTTCACCATCCTTGCGTCTGCTTGACTGACAGCAGTGAGATTCAAATAGTTTTCATGTTCTTAGTTGACTCCTCAAACACACCAAGTACCTGCACAAACTTCCGCCCAAGTTCCTTAGCATTCTTTGTGTCACATCCACTGCCTTCCTTACAGTGTGCAAAGTCTCAGTATATTCAAAGTTTACGCGTATCTGACTGGTCGCCCCTGTACAGCTAGATATGCCTTCATGAAAAGCCTATATATTATTGGAGAAGAAGTCAGATCCGTTTGCATATACCCAAAGCGAGAATCCGCCCAACTTTACTTACGGCTGTGGGACCTAATTGCTTCGCGTACAAGAGATCCGCGAACTCACAGTTTTAACAATTGGTGTCATGAGCGCATCTGACAGCTTGATGAAATATCTGGCTTGGTGATTGAAGAATGCTGCTTCAGCATCTTACGCTCAGGCAACTACTGCAGAAGTTATGACTCCAATGATCCACCCGCTTTCCCTGAAAACCCGAAAGTGAACTTTACAAACTTTCACTGGTTCGTTCTTCACATCCGGGGGCGCTGCTGTCTTGCAGACGGCTTAGACTCTAGATCGGTACGTCATTTTAGACTTGGAGGAGTTGGTTCTCAACATACTGCGCAATATCCCTTACCAGGAATTAGGCACCAATCTACACTAACCTAGCCAGTGACCGCTGTCCATGAACAACAGTGATGTGGGACATCTGTGAAGCTGATTTTTCCTGCCTCACGAGACGTTGGTCTTAAATCCATCTAAGCTGTTGATGTATAGCGGCAGTGGAGCAACACTGGTCAAAGCGTTGACCAGGCATTCACCAAAATGTAGAGGAGCAATTTATAGAGATTTCGAGGCAAAATTATTAGATTACGTGGACGAAAACAACACATGGGTTTTACACTAGTACCTTCAAATAATATTTCAAATTCTAGCGTATTTTTTGACGGGACCTGTCATGTTGGCCAAAATTCATTCTATTTACTGGGAGTAAAATTGTGGAAAATATGAGTAGTCCAGTGAGTATATTAGCCACAAGTTCCCCCCTGCAGAGGCCTCCTACGTGTACCGTCCCAAGGGGTCAGTTCCATGGTTTAATTGATTCCGATCACCACTAGAACTTCGTTGTGAAAGACACATGCCAAAGTCTCTCCGGTTTGTTTGTCATCCAAACTAACTGCCATTGTCAAGTGTGTCTATTTCAGGCCGGACGGCCTGGTTGTTCTCTTGGACTCACAGTCCTTTATCGTGTCCCTACATCTCATAATTCTAGATCGGGTCACCCGGCTGTCATCGAGTTTTCGCGATACAGTACTCCACTATCGAAAAGGGGTTTAATAATAATAATCGTTCAGCTGTAACACCCTTTCGGTGCCCCGTTGCCATGCCACTTCCAGGTTGCCCAAGCCTTGACAGGAGAAGTGCAGAGGTCGGTTGGAACCAACGAACCTTCGGTCAGTGAATTCGCCCTTTAACCACTGCCTCTCTTGGGGCTTTTGGCTCTTCCAATAACGTGCTATCTGATGTCACTTCATTCCTGTTTCAGCAAGCTGTCACACTTCGGGGCGAAGCTGTGACTTAATGTACACTCCTCAGTTCCTGGCTCAGCTGATTGCAGTACCTCTCCATCACCTTTAGAGTGATGTCTCATGTGGTTACGATTTATCGAAGCAAGTCTTCTGATCTGGTCTGCAATGCACCTAGCGAATGGAAGGACTTCACGGTATTCGTGGCATGTGTGGGAGTGGGGAACGTTGGACAGCTTGCCTGTGATCTTCTGATACACAACCTGAACTGCGTACTAGCAGGAAGCCTGGACTTCGCTTGTTTGCCTGCCGTAGTCGGCCCGGATCCGTTCTCAAGTTCTCCTAAGGAAGACTCCCTGCTGACTTGCTCCCAAGTGCGATTATTTTTCTTTCTCTTTATCATTACAATTAGTCTGTCTATGTCGGTTCTACTTCCTGAGTGAAGTCTTCTCAAGAATTTGGGAAACGGTATCACACATTTAGGAGAATGTCGAAATTTCACGAAGGGCCAATCATGTGACATCATACACAGATATCTGGTAATCGGTCATTTCTGTGATGGGCAGGGTACTCCCGTTCAATGTTTGCTCTGTTTGTTCTTTAGTCCATATTGTTTGCTGGTAGTGCAACCCGGGCACTGGAGGTGCGAGACACCTAAAACTCCTGCATTCTACAAGTTTGTAGTATCCAGAATTACGGTGAACTGCGACACAAACTGTTGCGCTAGACGGTTAGTTTCACAACTGGTATATTATTCCATTGGATCTGTATGCTCTGCCTGGCTAGAACTAATATGGAATGATTGATAAGTTAGACATACATCCGCAATTCACGGTGGCAATATAGGTTACTGTTAATGGATCTGAGATGTAGAATAAAGCGGCTTAAGATAGGCCAATATTTTTTGGAGTTCCTTATGACTCCTCTCATTTTGTTTTCTTAGTAATCTGGTTCACTCTGGTCTGTCCCACGGTTAGCTGGTTGGTGCCCATCACTAAGAAATAATAAGGCAACTCATACTCCAGCGAAACTAACACTAGATTATGCTCGTCCATAGGTATTTTTCTTAGTGATTTTCCGTCCCGAAAGACAGCTTATTCCCTCACGGAAAAACCATTTACCGCGAACATGAGTACATCAATGGTAGCAGTTGCAAGTTGTATAACTCACTTAATTGTGATGTTATCCTAATTTTTACTCAGCGCTTCTGATGAGTGGCTTCACTACGTTGTTCTCCCCCAAAGTTGGACAAGAATCCAGTTCAACAGTCTCTCTGACGTCCTGATCAGAACCCTGTAATTACTTAGGTCTCTGCTTCTCATATGTTGTTTCCTCACTTAATTAGATCCTATACAGTTTGCTGATATTCGAAACGACGCATTGAAGTTCAGTGCACTAGTACCATGGTTTTGAGTTTGAGTAACTTGAGGGGGCGCACAAACCTTGGCGAAACTGGTTGCGTTGGTTTGAAAGGAAGAGAATAAAACTGACCAACATACGCTAGCAATTGACATGCTTTCACCTTTTTAATTCTTATTCCTCGAAACTCGTTTGCTTACTTGAGCGCTTATCTGTACGTGTGTTGAATATGTCATTCATCTGTGTGCGGCACTTCATTTAGTCCTTTACTAGACTTGTTCGAATTTCATGTTTGCAACTGATAGCTGTTTCCATGTTCGGTCTGACCAACGTTTAGGGTATCAAATGTTTCCTCCGTTAGCACCATAAACGAATTTTTACCAACATCCACACTAAATTAAGGACTTTCAAATGCTTTAGGAGAGCCATATCGCAAAATCGGTCTGAAGACAGACTGCTTCGAGTTCAAGGCACCAGTGCGGTATGCAGAATAGTGCTTTACACTAACCGATCATTTTAAAGTTGTATTTGTTGGTGCTTCCAATTGGGAGACTGCAGTCGCGCCCACTTCATTCATTCCATCTGATTGCCTGGTTCACAATATTGTTTTATGAGTCCTTTCCTTGAAGTTGAGGGTTTGCTTGATTGGAACTTATGCACCTGGAAGGAATTCTTAGATGAAGCAAACTTGGAAAAAAAGCCCAATGCATGGAATTACGTTTCATATTAGACAACGCTAAAGGTAAATTAGGATATAGGGAGCATCGAATGAACACACAAACGTATAGTTTGTGTTCGGTTAAGAATTTTATCCTGAACAGGTTTTACGCACCACCAACGAAAAACTGCGATTATCTCTCAAAGACGTCTGTTTTTCAGTCCACGAATAATGGACATTCTTCATTGGCCTTTTTATGCGGTGCCAAAAAGTCCAAGGTACGCACTAGCTCTCAAGGCAGACTTTCGATAATCAAATTCCAGTTAAGGATCGACGTATGATTCTGATGTGTTTTATTGGGGACTGCAAGGACGGTGCTACAACTCAAGTAGGATACAGGACATCAGGTCGTAGCTTACGGATTGCCGTCAGGCTGAACGTTGGGGTTAGTGTCCAACTTTTATTGATGAGTGAAATGGCTGTGTTTTCCTTCTCAGATGATTTCAAGAATTGTTTACTAGACTCATAGTTGGCGACTCTAAGTGGCTAAGTGTTTGTAAATTCTCCATGGGTTTATTTTTATATTGCTATTCACTTAAGCTAAGGTCAACTGCTCCTTTCTCCACTTATTGCCCAGATCTACACAAACAATGGGCGCAGAATTGCAATACTCCAAATTCGCGCTCCACCCTTTTCCAAATGTCAAGGGAAGCACACTGAAGAACTAGCTCAATTTCTATTCAAGGCTCAGTTTTCGCGTGTTATACTACTGTCGAGCAGCTTTGCTATGCAGCGCAAGGTGAATCTATGTTGCTTTTCTTTTTCTTTGATGCGGTGATCGGGTATTGATGTTTTGGTCAACATTTGTTAAGCTAAACCCATGGGAAAGTAGCACGACGTCACGAAGAGACTGGACCTCACCATGGTGTGACGGTTAGCGCACCTCATTGACTCATTAAGCTATACTGGGGTTGTTCCCGCGACACTCAGAGTCTCTCATAGCAGGTTGGTCAATGGCTAAAGGTCTGACGAACACGGTTTCCTGGTCCTACAGGTTGGGGGTTGGAACATGTGGCGACTTGTTCCGTAGAAATGGTAATGCATTTGCACTTCCTGCCAAGCACCGCTACCTTGTGGTTAAGCTTTTGAGCCAAAGGCTTGTCCTGTCTAGGTGTGGGCGCCCTGGCATTATCCCAGCCCACATACAACCATGAACGGCTTGTATACAAATAAACTGATGCCACATCAGTCGTCGCGTGGTGCTATCAGCTGTGTCGCCTTACTTGCTGTATACAACAGGGCGGGTAAGCGAAAACGGACCACTGCTGACGCCACCCTTCTTTCCTTTTCACAACTTTTTCTTCCCCCTCTCCCCACCTCATTAATGACCCTCCTCTTGTAGATCCAGCTTTTAGGACTGATGACTCCGTTTGTCTTGCATGGAGCCGCGCAAGGTGCGGACAAATGGCTTTGCAAGTGAGAGATGAAGTTATCAGAATTTTCTTCCAGAGTCTCTTCCAAATGCTCAACCATCAGATGTGAACTCATACTGGGATGAGGTTGTCACCTCCTTGTATAGTGCTTGGAATTTCGCCTGTCTCACGGCACCACCAAGCGCACCCAAGCACTAGATATGAGACTGAACAGTGGCACTGCTTGAATCTCGAGAAATATCCCAGTCAGCCCAACGTAACCTGATGCGATGAATTATCAGACGTCAAGTGAAGGTGAGGATGGAAGCCGACCCTGAAGTATGGTGGACACAGAAAGCCTAGGAAATGCAAGAGGCCCGGAAAGCCGGTAATGCTCGAAGATTATTTCAGTTGGTCCGTGCGACCAGTCCCCGGAAACCATCTGTGAGTGAATCCATCAAAGATCTGAAGGGAGTGACCATATCGACCGTCGGGCCGAATATTTCGAACAGCACTTGTCGTAGCCACCAGATCGCTCCCATCTGGAACCCACAGGTGACGTAGAACCATTGAGGGTGAACGTTAAACTGCCTACGGCCTTGGAGGTTTATGACGGCATATGTTCTCTTAAGCGCCATTAAGCCTCTGGTCCGGATGATCTCCCACCCGCTCGGAGATATTAATGCACAAGCAGGCAGGTTTAGCGTATCTGAGACCCAGTTAGGATGTCGACATGGATTGAACTCGGTACGTACGGTGAAGTCCTCAGGCAGCGTTTGTTTGATCTGTTTGCTTGCATTTGAGAAAAGGAGTCTGTCCCAGACATCTGGGAACAGTCGATGATAGTGCCCATTTTCAACCACAGAGGCATCAGCTTGACCCAGGTTGTAACGAGACTGTTGGAGTCACTTATGCTTCGTCGCCTTACGGTGGCTCGTGAGACATTGACTCGAGAGCAACAAGCAAGATTCCGGCCTAGTAGGGGTTGTGTTGACCAAATCGTCAGGTGCTAGAACAACGCCATACGTATAAGCGGCTCACAGTTCTAGTACTCCTGAATTTCCAAGGTGCATTCGACTCGGATGACTCGTCTGTTCTTCTTGACACGTTTGCTCACCAAGGAATGTCCCAGATATTCTTGAACATAATAAGCTCTTTGTATTCCCAGACTTCCGGACTTGTGAGAGTATAGGGCAAGCTCTCCAAGAGCTGCCATACACAAAGTAGTGTCTGTCAAAAATATCTACCCCCCTCGAATTCCTGTTTAACTTTGTGATCGATGAAATCATCAGACGAACGCCGGAAGGTCTCCAAAACCCCGGTGTTCAAACAGCCTGTGACGAAAACTATGTCGGTCTGGAATATACAGATGACATAGTTCTCGTCTTCGAAGAAGAGAAGGCGCAGGTTTTTCTGGATGAACCGAACAAAGTCATTCCGTCCTTTGTTATGCATTTCGTATCCTCAATGTGTAAGGTTATGCTCGTCGACATGCAGTCACTGAACACACCACTTACAATCCATGGAGAACACTCGAAGTTGTGGAGCGTTTTAAGTACCTTGGAAGTTGTATTAGTTACGACTGTAGTGTGACAGATGAGATCAACGCACAAATTTGCAAGGCTCGGGTCCCGTTTGCTAATTTGAGACAACCATGGCGTCAAAACGGTTCCTCCCTGAATCTCAAGGGACATGTGTATCAGGATAGAGTGCGGGCTGTTTTGTATGGCTGTGAGACTTGACTTGTTCGAGCAGTGGAACTTAGACGTCTTCAGATGTTTGGCAATCGTTATCTTAGGACAATAGCATCATCATCGTCGACAGCATGACGTCAGTATTCAACACCGATGCTTCAGTGCCGTAGGACAATAGCTCGTTTGTGTTGCGTCCCAGAATCCGTAACGAGGCAAATAGAAAGCGCCTTTTCGGTTGTGCAACGGGTGCTACCATTGAAGAATGTGTCCAGCACCATAAGCTGCGTTGGTTAGGCCATGTATTGTGTATGCTGAACCATTATTTGTCGAGGAGAGTGCATTTTCCCTGCCCAATTAAAAAAGGCGGAAGCAGAGAGGTGGCCAACCCTTTACCTGGCGGAGGGGCATATAGGAGATCACGAAACGTTATGGTGCTATCGGTGCTACCAGGATGGGGATCGTGTGATCCCCGCTGCGTCTGGTTGGAGACGCTTCAAGATGTGGATGCCAACGGATGTCAATGGCGATCTTGTTGTCACTTTCTATCCAGATTGCCTGAATGAGTGTTTGGAGGTCTAGGCACCTCGGAATGATTGTAGTAAGCCAGCACTAAGTCCCTTTCCCCGTCAACCTTTATTCATTCTTCACGATTGGGCTTCCAACTAAATCATGGTTGTACGACAGCATCCGTGTTGAACACTGTCCTCATGCTGTCGATGATGATGGTGATGAGCATGACCATCATTGACACAAAGGGCATACATGTACATTGAGTAGATAAATGTGTCTGTGTTAGGTTACAGGCATGTGTGGTTACTAGCTTCGCCACGGGACAGCACGACTGTGGGCATTTGTGTTTCCGTACAGGTTTTGCGACCGAAATCATGTACCAAACAGTAACCGACTACAAAGATATCGCGCAGAAGCGAGTGGACTAAACTCTCTTCGTTGATCAACAGTAAATCATTGATCTTATCAGTTTTTTTTTCGAAGGCATACACCCTACAAAATAAACTAGGTGATCGTCCGGATTAATCCGACTGCTTCTCCAATCAGCTCAGCTAACTATCCGGGACCAGGGGCCAGGAACTTTAATCTAGTGGGGATGGCCACCAATTTTCGTCCAAATTTTTTCCGGGTGTCTGGTGTTGAAGGCAACCCTGCTTAACTTTTTCATTACAAAGCTTTATTTAGGCGAATTGGCACCGTTGTTCTACTCTGGTAGTACCACCATTACTATGTGAAGTTTCTGTCTTACCCTAAGGGAAGGTTCCTTCTTATAAGTACTGTCTGCTTTAGCGAAATGAACAGTAAATGGTTACTGGGTCAAGTTGAGTTTAACGTTTCGGTCTTAAGCGATGTGACGCCATCAGTGCATCCTTATTTAGCGAGGTGCAGAGGTGCGTCAGTTTACAGCTATAGACGTGCCGCCACACAGCGATGTACTGATGTTGGAAATTCAACGTTTGAAGTCGCGCTGCCCAACTTAGCAAACAAGCAGACATTCGTGTATGCGAACTCAGCCGTCAGTATCCTCATTAGCAGAAATGAGCCGTAAAATCCGTCCTTGTTTTATGCCTTTTCGATAGTTCTCGAATGATGCTTTAAGAGCAAGCTGATTTTGCCGCGTTTTCTCTAAGGTTACAATTATGACAGTACGACAGCCGGATAGTCTTTTATGTGTTGTTTAGAATTACTTTTCGACAAGAAAAGGCGGATTTCTTACTACAACTGTTTTGCACTTACATTGGTTCTACTTTTTCGTCATTCAGGATGCCGAGCTGATGGCATCACCACTTCGTTACGCGATAACAGAAAATTTTAATATTGCGGACGTTCAGAGGCTAAAATCCAAACAATGGCCGGTACTGCTGGAGCACACAGAAGACCTGGAAGATGACTTGCCAGCTAGTAAACGTCGTGCTCGACCAACATATCGACTTCTTGGCTGTGGTATTGCCAGTCGTCTGTTCGATCGATTGAGCAAGGGTCCCGAAGGCCAACTGCCGGTATGCCTTCTAAACATCTTCGCTTCCGAGGGAGACAATGCTGGTGACGCCCTGTACATGGTACATCAGTTGAGTGATTGGTTAGTACTCCTGGACAACTCAAGCGCTGATAAGACTCCTCATGAAGTTTGGTTACCACCTCCTTCGTGGTCCTTATTGTATGGAACCAGTGCCTTGGAGTCATTGTACTAATCTTTCGAATATAATACAGTCTTTTTGTATTGACTTTTTAGCACCTGATCTATGGCTGAAATGTTTCGTCATTGGTTCAACTTCATGGTATTAATGCGTGTTCATGCCACCCCAATTGTGTCTGTTATGCTTATGATCAGTCTGCATTTGGATCTTTTACCGTTTGGTGCGACTTTTCAGTCTCCTGAAATTCGGTGACTAAGTGGTTTTCTTACAACCAATCGCACTTCGTCTTGCAAGATAATGCTGAGAACACATTAAGATGAACGTACTCCTCTCCGGGTGATTTTTTCAGCTCCCCGCCCAATAGTGCTTGGCAAATACCCGTGAGCAAACGAAGTTTACTCACATGAGTGCTTTCATAATTTACTCCTGAACAACAAACTGTGGTTTAGCTGTATCAGACAAGATAGTCGTGTTTACATTCTTATTGCAGAGCAGGATGTACCCAACAAACTTAAAGTCTCAGACTTTTCACATCACGTTAGTATTTCTGGTCGGTGCATGTTGCCTACCTTCCAAGTGGGCTACTTAAGAATAAGGAAACAAACTAGTGTGGATGCACCCCTCAAGCGCTTAACTTGGCCCAGTGAAGCTCAGCAGATCAACATATTAAGTATCTAGTTGCACTGTAGTGGTACCAAGTCAACGAATGCAGCCTTCTAGGCTGCTCACATCAAACAGACTTTTCATGGCAAACTCAGAACAGTATGTCTGGTCATTTTCTCTCTGTAGTTTCATCTGTGTTCCCGCAAACTCGAAGAGAATCAACCCTTCCCGGCTCATGTATGATAAAGCTTTCTATTGTTACAACAGACGTCCCGGTAGGCAAAGCCAAACCCGAGGAATTCGTTACAGTTGGTGGGATTGGTTTACTTTTATGACAGCACACGCTGTACCAATGTCCGGCAAGATTTTACCTTCGCCTTGATGGTGACGCCTAGCCAAGTGGAGTTCAACCACCCAATCAGTAATTTTTTCATTACCATGAAGTAAGACCCCTCTTACGACTGCCTTGGGATCATTTCCAGCCTCAACTTCCCTTTTGTCCAGTAATGCGCGTGATCCCCAAATCGCAACGTCGCTACATCAGTGTACACATCAAACCTTCATTGTCGATAGCGGGACTGGTGGAGCTATTGGCACGTTCACCTTTATAACAGTAAGGTGCTTCAACGCTTATGTTTAAAAAGTACCAGAGATCCAATAGGCTGTACTCTTTTCCCTACAGAATCGTCCCGTAATTGAAAGTGGGTTACGGAAAAAGAGAAGCAGATTTACTACTCATTAATTCCGTACCGGTGCATAAAATGTATGAAAAACGATAGTTTACCGACGATAGTTTCCACGCCTGTATAGCATAACAACAAATACGGTCGTGTAGATAAGGCCTCAATCAGCGACGCACATGGGTACACGATCAGAAGTTACGACCATTTACAGAGTGCATATTTTCGTAAATATTGCTAAATGCAACGAAATATATCTATGTATACTCGACACAATGCGAGCGTCACAAACAACAGTCTCGCGCCTAAATTCTTTGAACCAGTGAATTGAGTGTGTTACATCGGACCAGCAGAGCGGATCAAAACGTTATTCATATATATATTCGGGGGAGATTCGCCACGGAAATTATAAAATTTTTCCATCATTCGAAAGACACCATGGACCATTAAGCTTCGTGACTCTCAGTTTATGCTCCACCGGTGTAGTATGCATGCTATGGAAGGACCAGAGGACAGTGATTCTCCGAAGGTATGGGTTCACAACAATTTCTGTGGATGGGAAGCAGAAAGATAGCTCATGAGCCGAAGCTCATTGCCAATGGTCACATATAAATCAAACAAAATGGCAAGCACTGTATTTTACACTGACCATTTTTGAAGAACACCGATCCTGTTGTATCATAGCCTGCATGAACTGTCCAGTTCTGGTAGTGTGGTGTATGAGGCTGGTGAGCGTGTGAAGAGGTTGATGTGTCTGGGGCTGCGTCGGCCGTTTGTTGTTGGCTCTGAGGCTTGTATGGACATATGTGGAGCCAGTGTGCTTGTGGTAGAATCAACAGTGTGTGATAGAAATCCTCGCTTGGTCGCCATATTTGTATACGTACCATGGAAGCACCAGAGGATAGTGATCTTTTGAAGGCAGGTGTTCATGACGATTTCTTTGGAAACAGAAAGAAAGTTCATGAGCCGAAGCCAAGTAAGCAAGGTTATACATAATCCATACAAACGTATAAATCAACGCAAATAGGAGGTATTGTATTTTACTCGGGAGTCGATTCATGCACAAGACGTATTCGAACATCCAATTGGTCCGAATAGGCTTCGCCGCTCAACAGGGGTTCCCGTCAACGGTACCCATGGCTGGATGGCGTATAGTATAGGCCTGGGCGTGGAGCTCCAAAGTTAGTGTCTCGCGGACTGTCAGTATCTCAGAGCCATAGGGGCCCTATGTTAGGATGGTATAAAAGCCGGTGCGAAGCTACAAATAATCGTCCCACCCTTGTTCCGCGTGCGGGAAGGCCACGCCTACTACATCGAAGCCAAGTATATCCTACTCTAGATATTTGTCAAGTAAGACGTTTTCGTAGTTAAATGTCTTGTAGGTTCACATATTTTTTCTTTGGATGAGCATAACATAACGAGACAGGTGCTCGAGTACTTTCCCGAATATGGTTCCTCTATGGAATTCGAGTCTAAACTGTGATAATTCCAACGGGCACATGTTATGCCCGCCGACACAGTTTATCGCCAGCGAAAAATGGACAGAATTTCGGTGGAGTTCTCGCACTATCATTCTGTTATGCGTTCATGGTGTACAAATACGTCCACGCGCGTTCACATCGAAGCGCCAATGAACTGGGTCGTTGGTATATTGGCAGTTATCTGCATAATCACTCAGTTCAGTTATGTTCATGTACGCTAAGTTCGACTGCCGGTCCTTCATGCGTGCTGTTCACCAGGCGTCTTGTAATCGTTAGTTTGAACATGCAATATTCCCATGATCTGTGTAGGTCTAACTGGCATGTGTACGACGCTGCCAACCGACATTTGAATATTCAACAGGAATGCGGGGCTTTTGGTTCGTTGAGGTGTTTTGAATCGTCCACGGAAAACCGTGACTATATTCGGAAAAACTATAGAATTGACTTAACCGGTGATGATATCCTGGTCCTTAGCAATAAATTGTGCCGCTTGGACAATCCTGTTTGTAATCTGCAGGGTATCCGAGAAGGGTTGCGCCCGTTTGGACCCATGGCTGTATCTGTTTGCGATTGTGGCAGTTTGAATGTTTCGTCGTTTTTTTAATTCTGTGCGCCTGTGTGATTTCTTTGCGAAGTACGGTGATGTTCTGACAGACTCTATATATCAATGTAACCGATGGTTACCACCTAACGCATATGGTACTCACTGATTGTAATGGTGCTGGGCATAGTGTGTTCTACTTTTTTATTCGAAATGAGTCACAAGAATGTTATAATATAGTTGTGGAAAATAATGTGTGAATGATCCTCTCTTGGGTGTTGTCAGAACGATTGTGGTCGGTATGAACAAGTCACATTATGTAGCCTTCGGTCAGCTATGCCTAATGCAGCTGTTACTTTTGTTCCCATTTTGATGTCTGCTGTTGCTTCCTGCGAACGTTTGCCGATCATGTTTGCGCAGGTCGTGTATCAAGCTGCGTGTTATCCACTGAAGGCGTCACAGTCGCTTCCACGGTGGAAATGCTGACCGCGACATCCATGTCCCTCTGGTGGTGATATCCTTGCTAGTCTTAAATGCGCCCTTGAGGAACAACGATGAAACTAGCATCAACACCACACACAGGCGCGCTCGAAAGAGTTCTCTTCCTTTCAAGACGACAAGATGGCTTGGCTAGACGTTCGATTTTCAGGATGATGACTGTTATCTGCAGTGTACAGAGTTGCGTGATCATAAGGTGCGAACCGCTGCGATGTATAGCACCGTGGCAATGCACCTAAAGAAAACGCCAGTGCCGTCACATATTGACACTGATGTCTGCGGAGTCTGAATTTCATCTCAGGGCGCCTGTGAGGGGTCGATGATAGACTGAATGCATGTATGGCTGCATTGCAGTTGCGTTGGCGACTCGCTCAACAGGCTGACGTTTTTGCATCCTATATGCGATCAAAACAACCGCATCTAAGAATGAGTTCCCTAAGTGCCTTCACTTATGGAGACGAAGGGATATTTTGTTTATTAAGTCCGTATTTGTTAACCATCATGTCTTGTTGGATGTGTGGGTGGCGGGTGGGGTTTTCGCTGACGTGAAATCCATCCCATTCTCGAAATCGTGCGGTAATAGCAGGCTGAACGAATGGGGCTCTGGTCATTTCCATTAGGGAGGTTGTTACTGATTCTTTTTCTGTTTGTTTTCCAGATACAATTGTGGAACGCCCATTTGATGACTATACTCTGCTTGCAATCGGTCTTAATACAATTATGTTCCCAAACGATTGGCTCATATTTCCTGACAAAGCAAGCATCACAGTAACCAAGGCCTTAGGTTGAGTACAAGATTGCGTAGATGAATAGCAAGGGGCATGACTCTCCGGTTCCGTATATACTTCTAGATTGGTCCGGATATCTAGTGTTTCCAGATCACTAGTGGTCGCATCTAGCAGTGATTAACGCAGCATGTCTGCAGGAGCGACGCAGCCTACATGTGACTAGGGCACTGACTACGCCTCTCTTGTGCTTCACTTCAAGCGTGTTAGTCGTCGACCGAAATTTGATTACCCACTCATCACAATTAAATGTTATCCAAGCCGAAGATTTTGAGACAGCGATACACCGTAGACGTGGGCTACAAGCTCTACACATATCCCAGTTCCCCCGGACGTTACGCTCAATAAGTAGGCCTATTGATGCGGTTGGCACTGCATACAACACTGGCCCCTTTTGGAAGCACAGCGTTTATGGTGTATCAGGTCCTACGTGAATCGGCCCGTGCCTGTGATGCGGTGCGTGGGG